TCCCCCCCCCCCCCCTCTCGCTTGTCCTACCCGGCCCCACGGGGAATGGGAAGACCATCTCCTTTCTCAATACATGCACACCCCCTCTCCCTTCCTCGCTCGTGTTCCCCTCCCACACACCCAGATGTGGTCAGAAGCCGCGCAAGAAGCGGGACTTGCCCTCAAGAAGGAAGCTGAGCACGCGAAGGCTCTCTACCGACGAGGTAAACGCCCTGCCCCCGTGCCACCTGGAGCATTCATTGTGCCATTTTCCTCTTCCCTGACCGCCCTGCTTGCGTCCTCGTGTCTTCCCCCCCTCTCTCCCTTCCTCTCTTCCTCCCTTCCTCCATTCTTCCTTGTAGGCGTGGCTCGCATGAACCTTGGGCTGCTCGAGGAGGCCAAGGCAGACTTATTGGGGGCGGCGAAGGTCGACCCTCAGAACAAGGATATCCGAATGCAGGTAGGGAAAGAGGGAGGGAAGGAGGGAGGGATGAAGGGTAGGAGACGAGACTTCCAATGAGATTGAGGGAGGGGCAGGGAGGAGGGAGGGCGGAAATGAGGGAGGGGAGCAAGCGGAGCCTTACGGCCGTTACAGTGTCGAGGGAGGCGAGGCCGCTTCTGAAAGGTTTTGACTTAGTGTTTCTCTCCCTCACGCCCCTGCCTGTTTCCCTCCCACCCCACCCGGTGCCCTCCCCTTCTCTTTTTCTCAGTTGCAAGCCATCAAAGACAAAATGAAGGCCATGCTCGCCAAGGAGAAGGCTACCTTTGGAGGGTACGTGCGAGGCGTGGGAGGGGGGGACGGATGACAGGAGGGAGGGGTAAGATGTAAGACCGCGATATATCGCGGAAGCTCGTCGGGGCTGACAGGGAGGGACGAAGGAAGGAGGGGTGCGAGAACGGGTGAAAGAAGTGGGTGAAAAAGGGAAACGAGAGGACACGCCTTTTCTCGCTCCACGAGTCATAGTATACCCCATGGCTGTCGCACGGCTCCGCACCCTATCTTATCCCTCCTCTCCTGTCTGCCTTCGTCCCGGCCAGTTTCTTGAATAAACTCTCCATGTACGAGGACAAGGAAGGCGTGGTGGCGCACGAAGGTCCCAACCCCAAGGTCTTCATGGACGTGACGATCGGCGAGGAAAAGGCCGGGAGAATCTCGATGGAACTCTTCGCGGATACGGTCCCGAAAACCGCCGAAAATTTCAGAGCCTTGTGCACAGGCGAGAAAGGACAGAGCCAGACCACGGGCGCGCTCCTCTCCTTCAAGGGCTCGGCTTTCCACCGGGTCATCAAGGTGCGTCTCCTCGTCTCACCTTGACCTCCACCTTCCTCCGCTTTCCTGCCTTTGCCCCCTGCCTCGTGCCCCGTGGTAATTGCTGTCCAGTAGTC